TTTCTAAAATTTCAATCCGCAATCCGTTAGCACTTTAAAAAAGCCATCCGTCCATCCGGATTGTTTTGCGGATATCCGGATTGACCATCCACGGATCGCATCTCTAATTTTAATGTGTGACATAAGAAAATGAACATTACTGTCTAAAAAATTATCCTTTTCAGTTGTTATGAAGAATAATCCTACTCTTAAAATGTATTGCCTTTTATTTTATATTGTTGAAATTAAAGCATCGATGAAGCAGAGCTTGTTGTATCTTGGGTATTTATTTATTATAGAAATTCTTACCAAGATGATAAATAATTAGCATTGTTTTGCTTTCCACAATCAACACTAATATTAAGATGTCAAGGCAACATGACTGTTGAAAAAGGAACATTTCAATAATAAAAATAATAAAACAATTCAATATGCAACATTTGATTATCAGAAATTTTACAGACATCAAGGCACACATGCTACCTTGGAGACATTACAGTCATTCTCACACATTCCTCATGTTCACAAGGCTAATCTGACCAGAATTCCAGGAGGGGGCCCAAAGTCGTGGAATTCATCAAGATTGCACCATTCTTATATGAATATTACCTAATCTTCCCACCAAGGAGAAAGGCTGAAAAGTTGCTTGCAATGCAACCAAGAAGACACAACTCTGGAAGTTGCAGCATTTTGAAGTGTTGTAATGTTAGGTTTGTGATCTGATGTTTAGAGGAAAGTCATAAAATGGTTTTTGCTCTGTATAACTTAAGTATTTTCCTAAATTTTCTTTGATACTAACCAATTCATAATTTTGGGTAGGAGACATGTGCTTTTACCTAATCAGTCCCCTGGCCTAGGGTAAAAACTTTTGTTTGTGAGTGAAAAACTCAGGAGGTTGCTAATGAACCTTTTGCTGAATTCAATTTATTGAAACTAAGAAAGCAGATATTTTTGAAGAAATTAAGGCTCAGTCTTAACACCACCTCCTTTGGTTTAACCATTTGTAAGGAAAAAATTTTTGTCTAAAACCACATAAAGCTTTCATGAATGTATCAAAATAATATACTATGGTAATAGTAAAAACAATTCCAGCACCTAAAAATAATCAAGAATTAATATAATTAAAAAAGAAAGCTGAAAAACTAGAAGAAATGTTAGTAGAGTTGATAAGAAATGACTGTTCAATAACAACTGAATATAAGTGAGTTATAATTGATAATTTAATAGCTACAAAATTGAAATTAGAAAAAGAAAACTTAAAGTGGAAAGTACAAATTAACTAAACAAGTCAAACCAACCCACACTAATTCTTTTTTAGTTTATTAAAAGATAACAAATACATGCTCATCTATGTTAAGTTAGGCAGTAAATTATTTCCCTCCCAATTTTCTTTTCTTTCTAAATTCTTTATGATTTTGTGATAAGGTTCTTTCACTGGTCAGGTTTTCTTTCTTCTTGGTAAATTTCATAGGTAATCTTTTCATTCCTTAGATAAGCTTCCAGTGTCTGAGTATTATTTATTTTGAAACATAAGGAGCAATTTTTTCACTTTGTCCTTCTTCAAAATACCTCTGATTGTGTTGTAATTTTTAGGTTCCATGGTAGATCTGATATAAATGAGTTTCATATTAATTATTTTTATATAGAACTAATTCTATATACCATTTGAGAAAAAAAAAAGATGGAGATTATAAAATTGTTAAATCATAATAATAACCACATTACTAAACTTTTGATCCTGTTGTGCGTGAAAATGAAATCTGTGAATTTGCAATTCACGTACGTGAAATTCAAATTAGCCAATCAGAATTTCATATCCAAACACCCCACCCCAAAATTTTTGATTATAAATTTCGATTTCACATACAACAATCCCTGAAATTTTTGGTAATACAAATGTTCACTTTGTTGCAGCATCTCCATCCATATAACAAAACAGGACGGATCTCCTATCTATATATTTTTTTGCCATAATCGACATTATGCATTTCATATAAATCTCTAGTTTCAATGTACTCTTCTCTCATGTACTCAGGAGTACTCACGAGTACAACAAACTATTCTAAATTTATTTTGAACATTTTACATCCAATAAAGTCAATCATACCCTGTAATAATTTACTGTGACATATGTTGCATATTAATATGACATAATTGATGTAATTGATAAATTTAGGCGTTGACATACAAACAATAAAAAAACATTGAAAAATTTTATAACAGACTAAATGTTGATCAAAAAAAAATTTTTCTTTTCTTATTTCATCAGGTTAAATAAACCATCCAGTTGGTTAGTAAATTAGCTAATTTAGTTAGATAATTAACCATTATTAATTTGTTGGGAAGAAATTAGAAGGGTGTTTGTAAAATATTATTTAAGCATTTATGACAACCATTTCACACAGATTCACTTGCACATAAATTATTACATTTTATATATAAACTTTACACATTTACATTGTAAATACATTATTTTTTATTTTTAAAAAAAAAGCAACAAACAAGAATGTCTTTTGTAAATATATTAAGGCCAATATTTTATTCAATAATCAGATTTTTTGCAAAAATAATATTCACAGTATTTTATCGTGATTATGGTGCATTTCATTCTGAAAATTTTCCACCTAATGACGGAACACCATCATTATTTATTGCTGCACCGCATGGAAATTTTTTAATGGATGCAATTACAGTATTTGTTTCATGCCCAAGAAACATGTATTTCCTAAGTGCAAAATCCAATTTTAATTATCCAATTTTTGGAACAATCATAACATTACTTGGTTGCATACCTGTCACTAGACCACAAGACGTTGAAAGAATTAATGGGGATGGTGTGGTGACGGTGATCGAGGAAGGAAAAGTTGTCACTGGTCAAGATCTAGGCAAAATACTTACTGTTGGTGATATGTTGTATGTTGAATTTGAAAGATTAGAGAATAATGATTTATTAAAGGAGGCAAGTGGGATAGTAGAACAAATAATTGATGATAACACTGTCAGGATAAAAGAACCTGGGATGAAATGGCTTACTAAAGGTAGAAAAAAGGGAAATTTTAGAAAATTGGTAGAGTACGGCAGTGTCTTTGTAAGAGTGGAACGTGGCAACACTCTTAAAACTTTGGAAGGACTGAATTTCATACCTAAATCTGTCAGTTCAAGTCTGAGTAAAAGTTTTGATAAATTTTCATCATCACCTGGAAGATTGCCTTTTCAAATTCATGATGAACTTGAATCAATTCCTGACATCGTGATTCATCCTAACGATCCAGCTGCAACTGAAACAACTCCTTTACTTTCTTCAGAATCTAGCTCTTCTTCTCACAATAATCTTAATGTCAATAATAATCCTTATCACAATAGACAATCCTCGTCAAGATCTTTACACAGATCATCAAATTATCCAATAGTTCCCAACATTCCAACAACCTATTCTTACACACATACGCCACCTCATTCTGAAGTTTACTCATCTGTATACAGTCATTTTTCACAATCACATTCTGTGGCTATTTTCCCGGAAGGAACTTCACATGATAACGCGCACATGTTATCTTTAAAATATGGATGTGCTGTTATGAGTTTGGGTTACCTATCATCCACGGAACCTGATGCCAGTGGAAAACCAAGAACTCTTAGATTGGTTCCGTGTGGATTAAATTTTTTCAATCGGCATCGATTTAGAAGTCGTGTATTTGTTGACATTGGTAAAACAATTGAAATAGAACAAAGATTGATCGATATGTACCGTAATGGTGGAGAAGATAAACGTTTAGGTAACTAAAGGATTTATTTGTTAGTTGGTTGATAGGGGTGGGAGAAATTTTTTCTTTTGGAATTTTAATTTAATTCATTAATTGATTAATTCGTGTACATTTATATAGCTTGTCAAGAACTTTTAACAAAAATACAAAAATCACTTTCGGAATTGACTGTTAATGCACCCAATTATGATACTCTTGTATTTTTCAAAATGGCATCAAGAATATATCGTGAAAAATTAGAAAAAAATTTGAATTTTCCCGAGAAATTGTCATTATTACGAAAAATAACAAAGGTATTTTTATAATGATGATAATAATGACATGATTGTTTGTTATTGTGGGATCCTTTTTAATGATTTTCCCTCTCTAAATAATAATAGAATTATACAAGTAAGAATCCACCACCTGATGAAACAAGAAGATTAAAAAGAGATGTTGTTTTGTATTCACACGAGCTTCGTAAACACAAGTTATCATCATCACACATGAACACAAAACCTATCAGTTTGTTATTTTATCTACCACTTTTCGTAATATTATTCTTACTCACAATACCAGGCTTAATACTTTATGCGCCTATTGGATTGGTGGCAAGATATGTTGGAAAAAAACAAGGCGAGAATGCAATGTTATATGATGACAATTCATTGGCAATAACAAGATGGCCAGGAAGAGACGTGATAGCCACTTGGAAAATGATGACCGGAACTGTGCTATTTTTAACATTTGATCTAATCTACTCAATATTATCTGTTCACTTTTTACGGGAGTTTGGATTGGTCGAAGTGCATAATCGCAAAGAAGTATTTTTATTAGGATTGGTGATTTTCTTTTTTTTCTGGACCACGGTTGGGTATGGGACGATTTTGTTGTGGGAAAGGATGTGTTGGGTTGGTAAGATTGTATGGGTTGGTGCATGGAGTTTGTTCAAACGTAAGCAAAGATTTTTGCTTGATTCTTGGCGAGAAGATTTATCTGTCAGAATTTGTAAATGGGTTGAAAGTTGGGATAGTAATAATGTTGATAGTAATAGTAGCACTTCTTCCTTCACGGTTTATTAGAATTTTTTTTTTGTTAGTTGAAGGAGAAATTATTTATAAACTGTATAAATATATTTTTTTAGAAGGTTCACTATTTTTATGTATCATTATTTATATTATATGTTTGTTATATATTAGAAACTATTTTATGTATTATCATCCATCATATTTTATATTCCTTCGCATCATAATTACCCTTTGTTCAAATAAAAATATTATTATTTATTTACAATTATTTTTTTTTTCCAGAAAAATTATGTGTGATTGATTATTAAAAAGATAATATTACAAATAAAGAAATACAAAAAAACATTAAAAATTAAAATTATATATCTATTTCTATAAATTAAAACAAATACGTGGATGTATAGAATTTTTTACAAGAATTAAAGTAATAAATAAGCAAATAAATAACCACCCTTTTCCCACATAATACTAATATTGATATATTATTTAGTCAGAACTATTATCAGGATTCACAACGTATAATTTTGATTTAGGTACAATAACCATATTAGTATGTTGAACATCAATGCCCATCATTTGCTTTTCCAAATTTTCTGAATAATCTTTATCATGTACAGGATTTGGCGCCAGATTGCCATGACTATTATTCCCCGATGGATTAATTTGAGGGGGTATTGGATTAGATGTCTGTGCTGCGTAATGTGATCCAACGTAATCGCGATTTTTTCGTTTACGATAAAAGTAAAACATCAACCCGAAAATTAATGATCCAACAAATACTCCTGCTATTGAAGCACCAATTACCACGCCGGTCTTATTTGGTGGTGTAGTAGCAGATGTAGTAGGCGTAGGTGGAAGGTTTGGTGTATAGGTATCAAGCCATTTATATGATTTAGTATCTTAAAATAATTTTTAAAAAAATGATTAAACAATCAAATAAACTAAATATTTATGTTTTTATATTTATATTTACCTAAAACATATATATTATTATCACCAAGTTCATTTGCCATATAACCTAATAAATAAATAAATAAAATAAATAAAATAAATTAACAAATCAATAAATAAATAAATTAATTAGATAAATTTAATTTTATAAATTTTTACCAAAAATAATCATCATGTTGGGTCCAGCGATATTTGCAGAATGTGCATATCTTCCTGGCGGTGATTTACCCTGGACAGTTACGTTAATCCACGTTATTGGTGTTTGTGTTGTATCCAATACTGCAATATCATCATACAAGATTGTAAAAGTTATATCGACACCGCCATGTATTATAATCCTTCCATCATCGGCTATACATATAATAAAAATATAACTGTTGGTCATCTTTGATTTGATTTGATTTGGAGGGAGGAAAAAACCTTGTTAAGAAAATAACATTAATTTTTATACTTACTTCCTGCAGCTACATGTTCTCTACGAGGAGTTGGTATAGTTCCACCTGCAACCTATATAAATAAATATATAGTAAGTAAATATAACCTAATAATTATTTCATCAAAGTCTTATAATTTACCGTTCTATTCCATTGAGACATTATAGTATCAAAAACATAAATATCACTCATATCCACTAATGAATTACCAGAATAACCTCCAATAACATACATTTTCCCATCTGAAAGAAGAGTAGCAGTATGATGAAATCTACCAGATGGTGTATTTAGTTGTAAATTTGTTGTACTCCATATATTCTTTATGCTGTCCAAATAATACAAATCTTGGTATTGAACTTGGCTTGTAACATCTGGATCTATTGCAGGTGCCCCGCCAAAAACATAAACCATCGAATCATTGACCCTAGTCTGGATAGTATGTTCTATCCTCCTTGACGCGACCGCTATCTCAGGACTTGACCATGATTTATTTACCGTGTCGTAATAAAACAACGAATTAGCGGGTGGTGATGTGTCTGGTGATTCGCCACCATAAAGAACTAATATTCGATTATTCTCGCCGCCAAATGAAATTGCATGATATGCAACTTTTGGCCCATCATTATTACTTATTATCCAAGAAGGATTTGTTATGGGAAAAGATTTTTCCATATCAAGAAGTAAAAGTTGATTTGTTTTCCGACCATCTTTTTGTGTCGCTCCTACATTTCCTCCATAAACATATAAACTAAATAACGAGCGAGGGAATTAGATAAAGGTTTATTTATTTTTAATTTTTATACGCATATATGCAACTTAAACTTACGTATTATCTATCAATGTTGAAGCATGACCCCATCGAGCATCAATTGCTTCGACAATTTGACATGATAAATTTATTATGAATATTCCAATAATATAAAATTTTATAACTGACGATGGTAAGTCGATGAATCCTTTATAGAATTTATGAAAATAAAACATGTGTGGGAATTGTTTAGATTTGTTTTTTGTAAAAGAAACTTTCAATATCAAAAAATTGAAATTTTTATTTTTATTTTGAACCCCTTGAGACTAACCTATATATGTAAATGAAATTTAAATTTCTATTTTTGTTAGATGCATTTATTTTATAATAATGAGAAAAAAGGGATTGATTGTCTTTTGACAAATAATTTTGAATTGTTTGTGGAAATCGATTCCTAAAATTAAAGGAAGGAGAGAAGGAGAGAAAATTTTTTAAAAAAAATTGCTCATACAATATAAATTTGGGAAATTTATTCGAGAATCCTTTCTGTCGATCAATTCATATATCATTAACGATTTTAACGTGATGCATATTAAAAAAAAAAATTTTTAAAAAATTCCTATAGTTGAAATGAATTCCTCTGGATATATTCTCCAAGGATCACTGTAAAAATTTACGGAGAAAATTTCATGTCTGAAGCCAAAGAAACGAATATAGAGAGAGACGACACAAATATCCGACCTCCGATCTCTGAAGATATGTATGATGCAATAGATACACAGTGAATCTCGATTTAACGGACCTCGATTTAGTGGATACTAATTAAAAAATCTCGGTTTTACGGATAAAGTTCAAAGAACGATTCCATAATAAACATTAATAAAAACCTTTCCGATATAGCGGATATCTCGGTTTAAAGAATTCTGGAAAATTTCTCCTAATGCTAATTGCCCAAACTATCCGTTAAACCGAGATTCACTGTGTAATTTATGTTGATGATAACTCGCTTCTTTTTCCTAAAGATATATATATCTATACCAATATATCACATCACTATTACGATTCACCGTAACACTATCCAATATCAATGATACTATTTTTTCGTTCTTTTAAGTATAATTTTAAGTCAAATACAATTACTCTTTCTCGTAACTTTATACAAAAATTCTTCTTAATAACCATAGAAGAAGAAATAGAATAAAACTTTTAGTTTAAGAATCTTTCATTGTAAGTTTAAAAAAGTGTAATTTTGTTAATTAACTTTACTTCTAGTTTCAAGCAGTTGCCTATCAATTAATATGCCCTAAATTTGCTTTTATCTAATAATTTACTATATTAATTCTATATATTAATATTATTGTTTTAGTTTTATGAATTATACAGTGAATCTCAATTTAGCGGACCTCGATTTAGCGGACACTAGTTAAAAAATCTCGGTTTTACGGATAAAGTTCAAGAACGGTTCCATAATAAACATTAATAAAAACCTTCTCGATATAGCGGATATCTCGGCTTAACGGATTTTTGGAAATTTTCCCTAATTGCCCAAACTATCCGTTAAACCGAGATTTACTGTGTATTAGGGATATTTTTATGTATGCATATATTCAATTAGTGAAGCGAATAACTTAGTCATAATCAGAGAGAACATAAATAGTAATAATTTATTATTTTTATTATCAATTTTTTTTGGAATAAATGAGATATCAATGACATCACACCAAAGCTTTCAATACATTTAAGTTGTTCTTTGGTAGCTTTACGTTGTAAATAGTTAAAGTATTGATAATTGCATCACTACAAGATAAAAAGATTCTGTGGACTCTGCTACTGTATAAAGAACTTGGGATATATTAATCTGGAAATTACAAATCTTTAATATTAAACAATTTCCTCCTTGATCTTCACGGTATTTTTGTATCTAATACCCGTGGAATTTCATCTTTTGTTTTCTTTCGTAGCATACTCTCTCTCTATTTTATCTCCAAAAAATATTATAGAATTCATAATATAAAGTACAAGTATAGTAGTACAATAAATTACTTAATATCGGAACATAATGGAGAACAAAAATGTGCTAAAATCAATTAATTACTTGTATTGCATTATACTAGCAATAAAACATACTTACTATTACAATCTCCGATGGATGTCCTGGTCCCGTAATTAAAAGTCACATGTCTCCTCAAATGGACGATCAAAAATAATTTAGATTGAGATTAATCGAGTTTCGTCATCAATAAACCGATTTAATCGCATATCTTTTCAACAAAAGGTTTTATATATCTTTTACCCATTATGATTTGCGTACTGTTTTTGACTTCTCTTCAGCTGATGGTTCCATCTAAAAGAACATCAAAACTAGTGCTGGTCACAATCTAAGAAGGATGGCTAAATATGTGATGCATACTTCATTGGGGTGAGCGGTCAACTAATTAAATCAAAACTATGTATGGACCCATATAAAATTTAATATTGGAATTTTTTT